GGCTTGATCCTGGAGGGCCGGTGTCCCTGCAGAGTTTAGCTCCAACCCTAATCAAAAACACCTGAACCAGCTAAGGTCTTCGGGATGCATTTAGGTTTTTTTTTTTCTAGGGTTTCTCAGGGTTGGAACTAAACTCTGCAGGAGAGTGGCCCTCCAGGATCAACGTTCCCCACCCCTGTTGTACAACAAACATGAACAGTTATGTTTTTTTATGTATGCATACATTAGGAACATCTCACACACACAATGCATGCATGACCTCAACTGAAAGAATTCTATGTGATTTTTCTCAGGTGACTAATGCTATCATGCTATTCATAATCATCTTGAAGAGCACTCCAGATAAGTCCAGTCCATTTTTTGGTTGTTTGCCCCCTAGACATCAACATAAAGTCATAGCTTCATAAGTGTTTTTTTTTTTTTTGTTCTGTAGGAATGGACTAGATGTCACTGATACAGTAAAAAATACTTTGTGTCCTAATGGAAACTGTACATGACATTTCAGAAGTTGCATCAAAATCTGTTTACATGGTTCAGTGACAGGCACTTGGGAATAGTTCTGATTGTTGTTCTTTGCTTTTCACGTTAAATTAGCACACTGGCTTTGCTTCAGTTAAGATGATCTCGCCAATTTAATGCCCAACTACGATTCCCATTTCAATGGTCAAACTAGTGCAATAGCCTATTAAAGTCCCTGATTACTGTAATTTAAAAAATCCCAACCTCTCCTGCCACTGGTGATTGTTCATTATAAGATTTTAATTAGAAAACCAGAGGCAAAATGCTATATAGTCACAAGGTGAACAAAAACCTGAGTACCTGCTTTCACATACAGTATTTTAAATCCCAATAAGAACCACAACACCAGTCCTGAGACAGAGAAATTCCAAACGGAGTATGACCAGCTAATGCTTCTGTGAAAAAAGGGTCTTAAACTCAACCCCAAATCTATATCCTATACCTGTGGTATTTACAGAAGAGCTGGAGAAGCTCTAATAGTTCCCTTGTCCCTTCAAGCAGTGAAGTACATCTCTTTGGTGAGCATCGAGACAATGCAGGGGATTTGTTTCTTAGCGTCAAAGCCAGGCTGGTTGGAGGTTGACTCAAAGTCGAGTGCCACTTTATGGTTGACCCTGGTCATGATCTGCATGAGCTCTAGTGCTTTGCCATACTTTGCCATCATTTCACAAAGGGACTGAATGAACCAAGAACCTGTCATGGTGTTTCTCCAGGAGTAGTAACCTGACAGAGGAAAGAAACCCCATTAAGAAAAAAGTAAAGTATTAAAATGATCTTCATTAGGATTTTCTCAGTAAATACTCATATATTTGACAATCTTAATTGATTAATTAAACAGCACATCATGCAATTAATTTTATTAAAATAAAAAAAAATAAAGAAATACTATCAGTAGCCACAATTATACACAAGAATACAGTAAAAACAATAATATTGTGAACTATTATTAAAATTTTAAATGACTGGTTTGTATGTCAACAGATATTTTAAAATGCAATGTATTCCTGTGATGGCAAAGCTGAATTTAGTCCAGTCATTACTCCAGTTTTCAGTGTCATATGATCCTTTGGAAATCATTCTAATATGCTGATTTGGTCCAAGAAGCATTTCTTATTATCAACGCTGAAAACAGTGGTGCTCCTTAATATTTCTGTGGAAACTAGGGGTGTGCGATATTGACACAAAATAATATCTCAATATTTTCTGGGATTTTATCGACAACGATAATTCGATGATATTTTGTTGAGTGTGTTATTGTGCTGGTATCTTAAGGACTGCCGTGGACAGCTGACTCCTGAAGTTTTTGATATTCTTCATATTCTGTGTGGTGGTCAGTTCACACTGAGAGAAATTAATCTTTTCCAATAAGTTTAAACTGATTTTTACATTATACGGGCACTTTTACCTTTATAAAGCCATTTTTTCTAAAAGTGTCCATTATCTTTTGAGTCAAATTCTTACACTTAATCGGTGAATTAGAATAATAAGACATTTGGGCAGTTACCAAGCAAATGAAATCAGTATCAACGAAATTAATCTTTGCAATGCAGAGGAAACACAGAAGCTGCATCTGAAGTGGCATTTAGATGCATTTACACACTGTTTAATGCAGGACATGAATGCTTTTAACCTGCAGTTACAAATGCATAAAAAATGTTTTGATATTAAACATAAAACATTGAATACTGTTATTTGAAATTATTTAAATAATAAAAGATACTTTAAATGTGAAATTAAAACCGCCAGTAGGTGGCAGCAAGTCACTGTTAATAAGTGAGTGATTGCGAATGAACCTAATCATTTAAACGGTTGATTCATTCAGGAAGGAAACTCTGTTATGTTGCTCAGAGACGCAAAACAGCGCTGTGGCTGTGTTTGGAATTATTTTTTTTGTCGAAATAGCACAAAAACAGGAAATATGGTGTCTAAAACTTCTCTTAATTAACTTCTTGTTTATTGAACTGTTGTAAAAAATCAATATCACATTTGTAATCATGGTAATTTTTGGAGAAAAATGGCACTCTTCGTGTGAAATTTATGAACTATATGAAGTGGTATAAATATATACATTTTCTGCCCCCATATCTTGAATTTGTGATCATTCTAAATTCATTTTAATAGACTGAATCATGCAGTGAAAGAACGCACTCTAAATGCGCACGTGCACTAGTCTGGACTTCACGTAATGTATAGCGTGCGCTCTGTAGGGGTTTTTTGAATGGTTTTTGCAAAATACTCGATAATGTCAAATCGCACATCGTTAAAACAACAATTACGATATTATCGCAGACGATATATATCGCACACCTCTAGTGGAAACAGTGATACATTTTTTCCAGATTCTTTGATTAATACAAAGTTCAACAGAACAGCTTTTATTTGAAAAAGAAAAGTTTTAGAACATTATAATTGTCTTTACTATTGCTTTTGATGAATTTAATGTGTCCTTGCTGAATAAAAGCATTAACTGCTTTAAAACGACTTCAAACTTTTTGTGAATATTTTATCTGATACTCACAGGAAGTGTTTGTGTGGTTTGCGTGTGTCTGTACCTGGTGCCGTAGAGTACGCATAGAGGAAGTCTGCCTCCACAGGAATCCTCATAGAATTATCGGAGCCGTCAGCCTCCACACCAGGATCCAGTTCTGTACCTCTACAAGCCTAAATAAACATAACCAGCATAAATCTCAAGAGTGGAAACAAGCACTCCAAGCCAGCTCATTATAAACATCAACCCAGAAAAAAACTCACTCATTTTAATGCACACACATAAGAGGACAGCAGAAATTCTGGACGTACCTGTATGAAGAAAAGTTTAGGCTTTCCCACAAGTGATGGGCAGCGGTCTCCTCTGAAAAGGCTAGTTAAGGTCTTGAGCTCCACAGAAGTATCAGTGCCGTAAAACACTCCCTCATCTCCATGACTGAGCATTACACACACTAACGAAGCACAGCGGCTGTGGTCGTCATGGGCCACTGTGATAGAACAACAAACAGCCATGTATACTTACAATTGATCAAAAAAACAAAAAAAGTATAATTATCAACTACCATAACACCTGGGTACAGGCAACTGATTCAGTGTAATTTGGTAATATTTCATTTATAAAACCAATAGGCCTATTATAATTATTAACAGGCCTAGTTTAATTTTAATAATTATTTATACCATGGTCTGTCTGAATACTCTATTCTGATTGGCTTAATGCCTTGAATTTTATGCGAGCAACTACTGGTAGCCAGTGCAAATTGATGAACAGAGGTGTGACATGCGTTCTTTTTCATATTCCTCAGCAACGAGGTGGTAAAATCGCTGTTTTTGAAGTAACTAAA